AAACAGTCCTCCATAAAATGTGCTGCACACATCTGGATATTTAGGTTGAACTGTTCTGGAACGGTGCGGCCTTGAGAACGGCGCGGCCGAAGGGCTTGCGGCAACCACATGTGACGACCCCGGGCTGGACTCCGCTTTGTCCACGGTGAAAGCCGATCCGGCGATCCACAGCACTAAGTTGATGTATTTCCTCAGCGACCAGCACGGATCAGCTCCAGGCATGACGAAGCAGATATCGTCGTCTTTTGGAAGACCAAACAAAGTAGTTTCGCTTTCACAACGAAGCACAGCGTCTTCACGACATGGCGGCGGCAACAACAATACTACAGCGAGAATAAAAGTTACGCCTTCTTTCTTTGTGTGAACATTTTGGCGGCGTTATGCAAATCTTCCCACATCGTGACGTAGACATGTGGGGGCGTGTTAGAACGAGCCGTTTTAGGTAGGCGTGGCTGACTCTGAACTTTTATAAAGAATATCTCTTTGGATTTGAGGCTTTAGTCTTTGCAACTTTACAGATCTTCTTTATGCACCAAGAGCTTGTAACACTCCAAAGAGAAAGGAACAATTTAAATCGCATCATATGACCCCTTTAACATTATGATTTAATTTTTAGTATGTTTTACTATTTTTTACTATTATACACTATTATACACTATTTTTAACATTTTTATTTTACATTTTTATAATTTATTTATTTTTAGTAAATGTTTTATATTAATCATTTTATTCATTTATTTATTTTAATTTCACGTTTTTATGATTCAATTTTTAATAAATGTTCTATGTTGATTATATTTATTCTTAAATTGTTTTTATTTTAATTTTACATTTTTATAATTGAACTTTTAGTAAGTGTTCTACATTGATTAATTATTTTATTTTAAATGATTTTGTATTTTAATTTTATATTTTCATAATTACATTTTTAGAAAATGTTCTTTATTGAAATTATTATTAATGGGTTTTTTTTGTTTTTTTTAATGATTTTTTTTTTTTTTAGTAAATAAAAATTAATCATTGATTTAATTAATTTTAAATATTTTTAAATTAAAATTTTATATTTGTATGATTTATTTCATTTTCAGTAAGTGATTTATTTCCTGTAAACCCCAGTTTTTTTGAAGCATGCATTGGCGGGAAAGGAGCGTGTTTTTGTGCAGAGGGTCTCAGTGCAGCATGTGCTCGGCGTAATCAGAGTGGTGTGTAACATGTGCTCCGTGTTTCTGTCTTCACCGCGGTCGGCATGTGCTCCGATTTCTCTTCCTCATATGGAGCAGAAAACACATGATGCTGTGTCAGATGATGTAGAGAACCATGAGATTGTAGCAGTGAATCACCTGCTGGAACATAAACTTTTGAAAGTGAAAACTCTGCATTGCACAAGTGTGAAATCAGCCGTGTACTGAGAGTTTTGTGGTTTAACAGCGAATCCGAGCGCTCTGCTTGTGTGTAAATGTGGTCGGCTGCAGAGGCTCGTGCTGAACAGGAAACACATTGTGTGGATTTGCTGAATGTGAGGCTTGTGTGAGTGTGTGTGTGTGTGTGTGTGAGTGTGAGTGTGAGTGTGAGTGTGAGTGTGAGTGTGAGTGTGTGTGTTTGTGTGTGTGTGTGTGAGTGTGTGAGTGTGTGTGTGTGAGTGCGAGTGCGAATACGAGTGTGTGTGTGTGTGTGATGTTTCTCCTCCTCACGGCTGCTCATCTGTTCAGCTGGACAGTCTTCAGTTCTTGTATTGCATTTCAGGCTGTTTTTAGTGTAGACGAAGTTCTTTTAGCAGGGTAGTAATTTAGCGATTGAAGCGGTCAGATGGCTCCAGGACTGGGTTCAGTTTGTGCCGCCTGTGTTTACAGGCGTCTGCAAACAACTGATTATACTGTATATATATGAGCCAGATCAGCCTCGTCTGCTTTTATCCGCAGATCACACACATGCTGGCTGCTCCTACAGAGTTTGGATTACAGGAGGAAAATGGGAAATCATGTCGATGACAGACTGAAGAATGAATCTGTCATCAGTCATTCAATAGCAGCATGAATGCAGGAAATTCTGAACCCAGTTTGCACTGTTTTGTTTTTTATTTTTGAAATTAATACTTTTATTCATTAAGAATGCATTAAATTGATCAAAAGTGACAGTAAAGACATTTATAATGTTACAATATTTCAAATAAATGCTGTTCTTTTGAACTTTCTATTCATTTGTGAATCCTGAAAAATATTTTTCCACTAAAATATTGGGCAGCACAACTGTTTACAACTTTGATAATAATCAGAAATGTTTCTTGAGCAGCAATCAGCATATTAGAATGATTTCTGAAGATCATGTGACACTGAAGACTGGAGTAATGATGCTGAAAATACAGCTGTGCATCACAGAAATAAATTACAGTTTAACAGATATTCACAAAACAGCTGATTTTGATTTTAATAACTTTTTTTGGTCTTATTTGGTCTTTTTGGTCAGATAAACACAGAATTGGTGAGCAAAAGAGACTTCTTTC